AATTGCATTAGGCTTACAGTATCCTTCATGTACAGGCCAAATAAATTGACTTTGCTCACCCTAGCCCTTTTTGATTTATATCTCTCTCTTTCTCTCTCTTTCTCTCTACGTTTCTGTCTTTTAAATAATACTTTTCATCTTCTTGCTCTGGATCTCTGTCTCCCTGCCAGCGTTTCCTTTATTGTAAATCTTGCTATAGAAATGCTTGGGATATTATTATTGTTTACTGATAATGTTATTTTTAAAAACGTCGAATGACCACAGAACCCTTTAAACATCGGTGTATTTATTCTGATGGATTCCGGTGGATATCTCATAATGATTATCTCCGATATTATCATCGTCAAGTTTCTGTTAATTGCTCAAAATCTAAATGTTACTAGAAAAGGGAATGAAATGCTTTGTCCATTCTCTCTTTTTTGTCTTCTGTTTTTCCCCACTCATCCATGCAGGCCTATCTTTAAATTCGATTTATTTTATGTGAGATGTGCAATATATTGAAGTTTCCATTATTATTATTGTTAAGTTGTTCCTTGAACTAATTTTTGATTGTTTTCCATACTGATGTATTTGTAATTTTTCTTTATATCTTTGAACTTTGTAATCTTTGGTTGTATCAGTCTCCCGACTGTTTCAACATGGAATTTTGACTCAATAAACCGAAATGAAATGAAATGAAATGAAATGAAAATAGGCATCGTGCACATTCTTGAAAGACGGTGGAGCTTTCATATTTCAAAACAAAATTAAATCAAGATTATGATTAATATGGGAGATGCAAACATTGACTTTTTTCAATTACTATTTTAGTGACTGAATTGAATATGTACTGGCGTAGCTACGTGGGAATCCCCTTGAATGGTGAAAAGGGGAAGGAGGGGGTAGAAATGAGAAATATAAATAAACAGAAAAAATATAAAAGAGAAAAATACAGGGAGAGCGGAAGTGCACAGCACATGAGACTCTAATTGCACATCGATTTTCTGCTGACACAATAGTGAAATGAGGCTTGAAATTACGTTTTGACTTGCAGAAAATATTGCTGCAATTTCATAATTTCTTTACCTATCTAATAAAAACCTGGTGTAAAATTAGTGACCTATATCATGATGCACGCTCGCATGATAAAATCCATATTTGAAATTAAAGGTAAAGACAGTTATGGTCATGCGATTGCATTGTGAAAGAAACGTTGTGGAATCGATCAGAAAAGGTTGATCATCTAGCATCTAGCATCTGCAAGGTTCTGGAATCATCAAAATGATAAGGCCCATTATTCGTAAAGTTACAAGCACTATACACAGAAAGATGTATATGGGACTACCCTATATCTCTCACAGACCATGAGAGAAACAAATTTACCAAATATATGAATTAGTAGGCGGTTTCCCGGCAAATTTTTATCATCATGTATTAGTCAAAACATATTCTTTCACATGATCGGTAATAAGAGCTTCCATTTCATTTTTTGAAATTGGGGCGTTTCCAATACTGGTCTTTACCTTTAAACTATAGAGGACAGACAGGCGATCGTTAGTGTGTGAATATAGTTGTAGTATTTTCGTGCAAAGAATTTTTTAGATAAATGACATGTTTCATTTTGACTGCACATAATGAACTGATAAACCAGGGAACTTACCAAGTCCCTGGATAAACATACACAATTCCCAAAGAGCCATAAAGACCCACAACTCACCCACTTTATAGCAACTTTCAGCTTATAGTACTTTGTCAAATTTTGATTAAAAACCGTAAAAACGAACTACACTCACAAACAAACTAGAAAGAAGTAATTACACGGTTTAGTGAAGTATTTTCTGTTTGTTTATCTATCATTTCCAATCAAATGCAACATTTTTTGATTCATTTACTTGATTACCTACTACATGATGCAACTGGCATTGAAGTTAACAAGTTTCACAAAATATGTAACACTTAATACAGAATGAAAATCATAATCTAAGAGATGTCAAATTGAGTGATTCTTTTCTTTGGGTATCTTTTTACATTTCCATGTCTTTTACTTATCCTGACTTTCTGAATTAAATTCGTAAATGGTAAGAAATTTTATTCTTTTGAATTAGGTTGATCAAATGAAAATGGAATTCAAATTGAATTCAAATCATTCCAAGGCTCTCGAAAGAGTAGAAAAGAAAAGTACCCTGAAAGGTATAAAAAAAAATATCAGCGATGATGCCATATTGGATGGCAACAATTGGGGATGCGCTGAGAGACATTTTGAGTGTGTGTGTGTGGGGGGGGGGGGAAGGGGGATATAACCCGCTCCATCCACCTCTGATGACACCCAAGACACATGGGATAGTATTATACGACGGGATTATGATGTCAAAATCAGCGATGTGCGATGGGGTTGTGATATTATGCTCACTCTTAATGCAATTACACGCAATGCAATGACGTCATAATTATGCTTCAGGAGCCTGGTCGTTTTGAGCAGGAAATCGTCAAGTAGAACACGAATTTCTTTCGTTCCTTTTCTAACACGCAACGCACGCTTTTAAGATAGCTTTAGCAGACCGGCAGCAGCGTATGTCGCTAAACTTGACATAATCTCCGCTCTATACCCCCCCCCCCCCCCCCCCCCCCTGCTAGCAGCTCAAAAAAATAAGATCAATGATGTCCCTTATAACTATATTATCTTCAGCGGGACTGCACTATACTTGTAGCTACGTGCGCCCTCTACATAGCAAACAATGCCTTAAGCGGTACCCGTTGGTCCCCAGGCTTCCCATTTTTCTCATGTTAATCGAGAGCTGATTTGATGAGATAACCACCTATCAGTGACCACGCAGGGAGGTCTAATCCCTCCAGGTCAAACTAGTGCAAATAGGCCTATTATCCTCATTTCCGTCTTCATGAATTCGGACATAAAATGCGTTAAAAAAAAACACTTTTAAAATATGTTCCAAAACTATGTTCTCATGACATCTGCATGATTCTTTCGTATTTAATTAAGGGTTAGGGTGTTTTCAATCGGATGGCACTCGAAATATTGATGATATTTTATGCCTAAGAGGGCACTGGCTAGTTTCGAAAAACTTGCGAAAATTTGTTTGCGCAAAAACGTCTTGAATTGGAGCAGAAAGCATAATTATCAGGCATCCATTGCAGTTGCTGTGTTTACTGTCAATGATTTAATGATAATTTTCAACAAAGGGGGAATAAGGGTACCCCCCCCCCGGGATATGTTTAAAATCCCTGCATTTCGGCAATCGTCTCTTCGTAACCCTTACCTCACAATCGGACAGGCAGGAGGAGGTCCAACTGTAATATTTGTTGTTGTTTCAGTATTTAATAATAATAATAATAATAGTTCGTCCTTATATTATAGCGCATTTCAGGACCGCAGGCCCTCTCAATGCGCTTTACAGATATATATTAGGCCTCAAATAAAAACTTGTTGTATTGCCCTGGCCCCTTTGGGTGCCAAAACATGGGTCGGTCGGTCGGAAAAGATTTTTTTTTAAAAACTTTTTATTTGTCGCCCTCTTTGGGCCGATATTTTTCAGATTTGAATGTTTTTTTGTACTGCCCTCTTTTGGCTGATATTTCTCAGTTTTTAATGCTTTAATACATGTGTTTCAACGTCATCATTCCATTGATATCCTTTTCACCTCATAATCATCCATAGTTAATCTAAAAAACGGTTTAAAAAAAAACTTTTTTAAAATGCCGACCGTAGATTTACAGATTTGTGGGTCGGTCGCAAAGGGCAATGCAACAAGTTTTTATTTTAGGCCTTATTACCCCGGTCATCGGATTCATGCTTACCCGCACACAAGGTATGCACATTCTCCACTCCATGGGGAGCATTCCAGCCAATCGCCATTTTACAAGCGCCATTGCTAATCAAACCACATTAGCTTTCGCATCCTACCGGGTACCCATTTACATATCTTGTTATAAAATTCATTTTCCATGAAGAAAAATAAAGTGTAAAAATATTGTGTGCCCACACGATTTGCTTAATACTTAAATATTTGGATGTTTCTTTCCAAATTCCATTCACAAATGACAGGTTGTGATTTTTGTCATGGTATATAAAAATCTAGCTTTGGCACAGAAAGCAAGCAAGCAAAGCAAAGCAAAGCAAACAAAACAAAAATCCCCAATTCTAAAACCTACCCAGAGAATTTTGAAAATGAGTTGACGAGGGTGGGAAATAGTTTTGAATGAGGAAGGGGAGGGGGGGCAAATGTCACATTGATATCAAGTGTAGTGGAAGCGTGTTATTGCCAGCACACTTAGAGGCCAACTTCATGCTATCATGACTACAGCCAAGGGAAGCCAATTAACACAACAGCACTAATTACTTAAGTATTGACTATATAATGAGAAATACGAGCAATGTTAATTAAGTGATGACTTAGCAGTCACTGAAGGGATAAAGTAGGAAATCAAAATATGTATGTGTGCAAACTCTCTCTCTCTCTCTTCGTGTCGCTTTCTTTTTCTTTCTCTACTCTCTCTCTTTCTCTCTCTCTCTCTCTCTCTCTCTCATTTTAATTTACTGTATTTCCCTCTCTTGGTCGATCTTTCTTTCTCCTTCGTCTCTATTCCTGTCTCGATCCTTTGGGCCTGATACAGACACACACGCACACACACGCACACGCACGCACGCACACGCACGCACACACGCACACACACACACACACACACACACCCCCACACACCACACACACACACACACCTTCCTCTCTTTGCCATTATTCGCTGTCTTTCCTAATTTCCATCCATTATTAAGATTCTATGTTTAATAATGGTTATTTCCATAATAGACTACCCTTTTATTGCATCTTACTGAAACGTAACATGTCTCTCTCATCTCATGGTCCATGGTCTCATACAGTCTCAAAGATTCCTTTTCTCTCTCTCTCTCTCTCTCTCCCTCCCCCTTCTCCCTCTTCTCCCTCTCTCTCTCTCTCTCTCTCCCACTCTTCATCTCTCAGTCGAAGAACACAGGCCAGCTAGTCAAGTTGTAATGCTTTTGATTGAAATTTATTGAAACATTAAAAGATCTCGTGTCTAATGTGTCTTATAAGAATACAACACTACCAGTTAGGATTATGTCCCATTAAATGAAATTCATTGAAATTATACAAATTTTTATTGTGAGTCATTGTTCTGAAATTCATTTCCAAGTGTGTGATGTTGAAGCGACTGGTCAAAAACTGCCTTAGACACTTAAAAACTAACCTAATTAATTAATATTGTCACGATTTTTTTTTTCGTTCTACGGTTCACGTTTTCTGTTAGATCCTCGTTGTGTAGGTTTCAGGATCGGTCGGTTTCATCACCTGCAATTCGAACGAAACAGAAATAAATCATCATCAAAAGTCATAATAAATCAAGCTTGATGTGTCAGGATGTTTTATTTCCTCTAATTATTGCACTGTGGGAAAGCATGATATGAACAAGAACAAAATACTTCCCAATGTGCGAGGGAGTATTTCAAAGTGCAAGAGGGTATGGCATGCTTTTTAAGTTTGTAAAATAAGTGTTGTAAAGGAGATATAAAATATTACACTGATTGAGCGAGCCAAGCAATAGTTTTCCTTGCTCTATAAGATAACAGTTATGTTTAGATCTAATATCTAGTTCACTGGAATCTATGTGACTAATATTTGGGTAGTCAGATACATGTCACTTTATTTTTTGTCTTCATCGAAGTGTAATTCTTTACAGTCACACAAAATAACAACAACAAAAACAAGCAGTTGGAGAGAAGATAATAAAAGTTAATAAATATATTTTCTCTAAAGACATGAGGTAAGAGCAAAGAAGAAAGATACGAACCTATACGCGAAGGAGAATGTTTGGAGACCCAGTTCCGACGTCGCTGAGGGCGTTCTGTGTACCAGCGGCAATCAAATCACCGTCAGTGCTTTTGCCGTAGAGGGCGAGGGCACCTATGAATCACGACAAGGAATAAATCGCGATCAGTTGTGGGTAATGTTATTGTAAATAACTACAGGAAACAAGTTGTAGTTTTAAAACTATGTGCACCAATCTCACCCCTCCCCCGCCACAAAATAAAATGGGGAAGAGAGAGAAGTAGAGGGGAGAGAGAGAGAGAGAGAGAGAGAGAGGGGGCAGGGGGGGGGGGGGGGGGGGGGGGGGGGAGGGGGGAGAGAGACAGTAAGACAGAGATAGGAATAGCCTTGATTCCATCTGTTATATCATTGACCTATTAAGGATGGACATTCAACGTGATTCTTTCTTTGATCCAATGATAGTCGCCGCCTTCTGATTATGTGCATCTTAATGAGAACATTCAGCTGTTTTAACAATAACGACTGCGTAAGCATTTTCGGTCATGACAAAGGAGCAGTTTCCCTCTCTTGGGTTTTGTTTGGATGGTGTGCTCTGTAAGAGTGTGTCTTAAATGAAAACATCCCCAATGGGGAGCAGCAAAGTTGAAAAGCAGACGATTTTGGTGATATGAAATGTATTATTACTGATTCGCACACTTTCGCACACACCCATGACCTTATAAAACAGTTAGAAGGCCATGATCTTTATAAGCCCTGTGCTTTGTAACTCTGGAATATTATGAGGAAATAGGGGGAAACGGGATTTTAAATCACAACTAATCCAAATATAACCTCTATCTAGTATATCAACATGTTTTTCAAAATAAAATACGGTACACTGAACAACAATTTCCGATTATAAGCCAGAACTGCACATCGATTTTCCATGATTTAAGCGAGTAATTATCTTCTGCGCATATATATTAACATGTGTAAAATCACTATCTTGATTCTGTCCCGGCTTTTTAGCGGTGACCATGATGAGATCAAAGTGAAGAAACATGTAAGGAATGTTATTGAGACGGCATTGACGGAGACAATCAATATGAATTCGTTAAGAAAACGATGAATGTCCATCCGTAATAGGTCCATGGTTATATCAACTTTAAACGAGATAGTAAAAGGAGCATTTAGAGAAACAAACTATGGCCAGTCATTACATACAAAATAAGCCGTTTCCCCAATCTGAAAAGTAATGTAGAAGATATTTCCTGCAAGCGCCTTACCAGCGACGTGGGGGCAGGCCATGGAGGTCCCACTGATGGTGTTGGTAGCACTATCACTACCGATCCACGTGGAGGTAATGGATGTACCTGGGGCAAAGATGTCCACACAGGTTCCCCAGTTAGAGAAGGAGGAACGTGAGTCTAATCTGTTGGTTGATCCTACAGTGGTGGCCTGTAATGTAGTTAATTGATATAAATGTTTCCATTTTATCATTTTATTGTTTAGCACAATAATAATACTAGTATAGGACATTGGAACATCATTATTGTATCTTAAATGATTACAGAAGGCGGCAAAGGCGCCCTAGAAACAGACGAGACGCATTAAGTAGGAAATGTCGATGCTTTGAAAGGGGACAATGCTTGTGCTCGTCAAAGTGTGTGTGCGCGCGCGCGCGTGTGTGTGTGTGAAGGGGGGGGGGCACCCAACGCTTCACTGCTTGACACAAGTGGTGGTACTAGGGAATCTGTTTTTCTTAAAAAATTATCGATTTCCTCAGAAATAATAATATTTTAGTTCGAAAAATGGGCACATTACGTAAGTGAAAAGGGCATTTATTAAAGGGAGGGGAAAAGGGTCACTTATCAGAAGCGAATAAAAGGAAAAGGGACACTTACAAAAAGTCAGTAAGGGCAATTTTCGGAAACTCAAGAAAGTGGGGGACACTGTGTCCCCCCGCCCCATGCCGCCTCTGCGTTACCGCTGAAGGACCAATTTAGCAAGTTGAGAAAATTCCGTCAATTTAAAGTGGCATTCTCACTCTAACGAATTGACTAATGAATATTCACAGAATTCCCGACAAATTTCCGGGGGCTGGACGGAACAAAACAATAACGATCTTTTTTCCCTAATCAGTTGCGCACGAAGCATTTCTTACGCTAATCAACCTATCAGGGCATTTTAATAGTAACTCCACGCAGTTTTGTACTATTTATTTTGCAATCTCTTTTTGTTGGTATGATATGATGGTACTTTCACAAGATGGTTTCTCAAAGACAGCTCCAATCGCTAACGCAGTCCTACGTCTCTAAACTGGCGTTTGGCGTGCAAGAGACTTGGCACTCATTCAATCTGTATGATTAAATTGGAGAAGCTTCTATCATTTAAATAAAAGAACTCACATAAAGAAGTTAAACTTACCGAGGTAGCACGGGCTGGAGAAGCAAAGCAAGCATTGATATCGCTATTACCGGCAGCCACTGCGCAGGGAACTCCTGAGCTGACCAAGCTGTTGACAGCATCATCCAGAGAGCTTGATGGGCCTCCTCCAAGAGACATAGATGCCACAGAATTGCCAGGAGCGTTTGCCTGTACATATTCGACTCCTGTTTAGAGGAATGACAAAAGTTCCCATCGTTATTAAACGGATCACGGAATGTACTGTGACAGTTAGACTGGTTAATGGTATAACCTTTCTTTTAGAAAGGAGGAAAATTATTACGATAATGGTTCCAACTTGTGCACATTAATACGGTGTTAATAATGGCCCTGATGACACTGTGATGACAGTATTGGTACATTTCCATAATTATGAAAAAATACAAAAATAATATCATACCAATAAAAGCTTATCGCAAAGGTAAGACAAATCATGGTCTCAGCAAGGTTTTAAACATTAGCTTAATTTATTTAATTAATTCGAGAATTTTTTTTGGCAACAACGCGAACAAATAGTAAGACTGTGGTAGATTATTGAAAGCTCTTGACTCTCATACGAAAGGTCCTGGGTTCGTTTTATCTTGATTCTTTGATTTACCTCCATATTTTCAAGTGTTCAATTTTATAATTATATGTATTTTTTTCTTGTGTTTCATTCGTCACATTTTATGTAAATCAAATATATTATATACTATAATTGTTGTTTGAATGTTATTGAATTCATTTTTCAATAAATGCACAAACTGCCTTAAAAAATGGTTAATATGCAAGGAAATCGAACTTCCGTTGTGGGACATCCGAAACCTTTCGCTATGCCATTGCATCTTCCATCAACGGGTGATGTATGTGCTTAGAGATTGCGTCTGGACGTGTTCTGAACATAAAATGTGCCTAAAAGTGTACGGACGGCTCAATGGAAATAACGCCTTGTGTACAACGGGCATGATTTGAAACAATCTGTGCATTCACAATACAATTGTGTACGATGTCACGCTTACATTAGGGACTTTTATAGATCTGCACGACGGAGAACGTGGACTGCACTTTTAAGGCAATGTGACGTCACTGCCAGTGCCTTAAAAGGACGTCACATTGCCTTAAAAGGGCAGTCCACGTTCTCCGTTGTGCAAATCTAAAAGTCCCTAATATTGCGTCATAGACCACATCAGCCGACTAGCATATGACGCCAGATATGCAGCGGGAATAAGAAGAAAGGGATGATGTGTTACCTGCAATGACTCCGGCGGTGGAGCCAGAACCTGCGCAGTTCAGAACCTTGACTCCATAGATATTGACTCCTGTGGCCACACCATATGTTTGGGAGCCGACTGTCCCGGCACAATGGGTTCCGTGTCCGTTGCAGTCTTCCTGAAAGAAAAAAAATAGTGTGTAGTTCATTTCAATTCAATTGCTTCATTTCAAAACAAACGGAACGTCAATTTTATTTTCCAATATGCCATCAACAAGACATAAATGGGGAAAATTATTTTATTAGTCTAATTTGACGTGAGTAGTCCATGAATTAATGGTGGAATTATATCTTGACAGGATAACAAATGGGACATTCTATTACTTGTATCGCAAAGCAAATACATAAAATATGAAATATAAAATAAAAATGATCGATGGTTTCCCTCACTTTTTAAATAGAAGGATTGGGAAGAAGGTATCGGGCACAAATTGGAGTCAGTGAATTTCATAACGCCTATTTTTATTGTTTGTGTACAGATATTATCATCGTAGTCAATCACGGAGGTATTCCCTTCATACAAATCGAAAAAAATGCTCTATTTTGTAATGAATCCTGATTCTGGATCTATACTTACGTCTTCACCGTCACCGGCATAGTTTACAAGTTGAGATGTACGCCTTGCGACAAAATCGTTGTGGGATGCCATTACACCAGTATCGATAACGTACACGCTCCATCCAGAACCTGCAAAATTAATGTAGAAGCAAAAAAAAATCACTAACCACATTTTCTTCAAATTTTAATCAATCATGAAATTCACCTTTTGATAATATTATAGACCCAAAAGTAAAAGACAAAATAATAACTGCTATTATTTCTGTTACAAGCATTAAGAAATTTCGCAAGGATCAGTGTTATACCACAAAAATAACGCGTATACTCACCCTATATACAGTCATAGCCCGTAGAATATGTTTTTAATGAATGGAAAAGAACAAGAACAAGAATAAGAGAAAGAGAGGGAGAGGGAGAGAGAGAGAGAGAGAGAGAGAGAGAGAGAGAGAGAGAGAGAGAGAAACAACACGTTGATGCTGATTACAGGCCGCTAAGTGGAACGCCCCAAAATTATTATATTAGTGCAGGGCTTCTCAAAGTCCGGACCGCGGAGCATGTCAATCCAGACTGCCCGGGAGTCTCTCCTTTTTTCTTTTTCTTTTTAACCCTAAGCGTACCGGGAACAGAATCCACTTGGTCCCTATCTTTCGATACCAACTGTAATTGGTATTGCATAGCGTCAAAAATCTCCGAAAATGAACATTTCCCTTATAAGGGTGTATTGTACACAACGCAGAATTGTCACTTCGCGGATTAGTGAATAGTTAATTAGTGTTTTTTTTAAAACATTTGAGACATAGATATGAAACTTTATTAATATTCATGAGATACTCTATCAATATGCCCTTTCACTTTATTGCCGGCTAAAAGAAATATTGTAAACGTAAAAAGTCCTATCCATTACCGGTCCCGGATGGGTTATATTGGTCATTGAGTGGCAGACTGGCTTGGTCGATACGGTCCAGACCCCAGGATTCGACTGCTGTGGCACGGTATACACCTTCCTGTTCTACGTACTCTACAGCATCCAGAGTGCGGACCTATGTCATAGATACACAAAATACAAATAAAATGATAGTACCGGGAGCCGAGAATCGAGGATCCACCGTGATGTACTCCATTGATTCAATATGAACACATAAATTTTATTTTTCATTAAAATTAATCATTTTCATCTGTGCAATATATATATATATATATATATATATATATATATATATATATATATATATATATATATATATATGTGTGTGTCATTGAGTAGCATAATATCTCTTATGCAGAGTACACCGACAACGACGACAATAATGACAACAACAACAACAATAATAATATTATTAATAATTATAATGATGATAATATTATTATTACATATACTACTAGGCATACTGCTACTACTACTACTACTACTACTACTACTACTACTACTTCTACTACTACTACTACTACTCTACTATACTACTACTACTACTTCTACTACTACTACTACTACTACTTCTACGTCTACGACTTCAACTATACAACTATTATTATGAACTAAATAAACAAATAAATAAATAGATAATTGCAAAAAATGAATAAATAAATGAAAAGATGAATATTGATTTAAAAAAGATAATAGATCGGTAACTAAATTTCATTACCCGAGTACTACCGATGTCCCTCCCAAGATCCCATTGCCCCACGGTACAAACCTATTATCAATTTACTTGATAAAATCCCAATAGTTTTCCTCTAAGCATTATGGGACCCGTTTCACAAAGCCTTGTTTCTATGACAAATGACAAAAATCAGTGATAAATCTGCTGACAACCAATCAGAAGCAAGGATTTCAGTAGCTTATAAAAAACATTGTCGTTTGTCACTGAAGACAAGTTTTGTGAAACGCCCCCCCCCCCCCCCCCTGGAAGCTTGTGGATAGTCATTGCAAGCTGACTTACAGCATCGAGCACTCGGTCTGAGAGATCGGCGGCGAATCCGTTGAGAGCGTGTCTGTAGATGTTGCGGACACGGCCACCTGAGAGACGGACAGTAGCGCTGATCTCATCGACGTTGATTCCATCCTGTGGGGGTAGCAAAAGAATCCTTAATGACGAATATATTATGCACAAAGAAGACGAAAGACAAGATGCATGGCTGATGGTCAACGAAACGGAGTTAAGTCTTTTGTCAACTCTATTCGTTGCTACGCCAGGCAGCCAGTGAAAACGAATTAGTTTAATCAAATTATGGAAATGCAAGCATTACTTTAAAAAATAACTTCGTTACTCCTGGCCCATTTTCCTGATTGAGGTGTTATATGAAAGGACAGAAAATGAACTTTCTAAAAATGTGATTTTCTCTTTGAAATTCAGATACCGTCCGCCAAAGGACTTTTTGGTACACACTCTTCAAATCGTTTTCAATCACTCATGCGTGAAATTTGCATCATTATGAGTTGCATCAAAATGAAAGAGGAGGATCTAAGCTTAACAAATATGTGTCTTAAATTGTGATAAAACATCAATAATTCTCGGTTTTGTTTTTTCTGGGTCGCATTATATAGAACTCGAAAGTTTTCCTTGAGAAATAACTGACCTTCAATTTAATGATGTACTTTCCTGGGATAGGCTCGATGTGTGTCAAGAGCGGGGCCAAGTTGGCACTGGCCACAGCCACGAGGAGAAAGGCGATGAAAGCACGCATTTTTACTGAAATGAAATAGGCCTACAGATTTTAGAAGCAATTATAGTACAGATGGTATTAGAAGTGGCAAACGCTTTCATGAATGAAGAAGTCGGTTCTAAAGCAGGTTGTCTCCATTTTCATAAACCTTTTGCTTTTCTTCTTTCACTAAATTACGATACCCATGCAGTATTCACATTATCACATACACTAACACTCCTTAAAATATCGAGTAATAGAACATTAATGGGAGAGTATAGCCAACCGTGTTTTTTTTTAAAGTGATTTGATCAAAAAATACTTTATACATTTCACTAGACCTATGGTTCTAAAAAATGCTATTTTGGTTCATTTTAAAAAGGCCTATTTCAGAAACTGAAACCATAGAAATATGCTGCAATTTACGAATGGTTGATTAAGATTTTATTTCCAAAAAATGTTAAATTCCATTATTCCACAGATCTTTTTGAAATATTCTTCAACAATTGGACAGCAACATGGATTTTAAAGAGTTATTTTATTACCTCAATCATGTCAAAAAACAAGGCATGATTTATCCTTAAATGGCACATTAATATTGCAAAATTACAGATTTTTTTTCAGGACTTAATAGATGAATAATAATGGGATGTTTTGGATCCACAGTCTTAAAATAAAATACCCTTAGTGGAATCACAGTCCATAAGCACAACACATAAGCATAACAATGGTACATTCAATTTTTAAATATTCCTACAGCTAATGCTTATCCCACTATCAATATGTCATATAGAATTACAGAGCCTACACATCTACATATTTAGATGGATGTGCTGAATTATCCTTAATCTTCAATGGAAGATAATTGGATTACCTTAGATCGGGAACTGATGGTAGAAAGCTTCAGTATAGGTCTTCAGATTGATGATCTAGTTGAGAACTGGACAGATCTGGTGATGAGCTTGGCGAAACGAGCTCTACTTAAAGTGTTTTTGGAGGAACAGATGGAACTTTCCCTCGGCATTGCGTGCCAAACTCTGATGCTAAAGATTGGGCGAAGGTGGGAGAGAGCGGCACGCGAACGGAAGAGCAACAAACTTTATGTTATTTCCATTGTTATCATTTTCTTACCTTTATGAGTCAAAATAAAAAGGTAGGTATAAAGGGCGAAGGAAAGACATGCATGGGGAAACAATAACCCCTTAGGGTTTGATGAGGAGTTGATGGCATAATAATATTATTATGTCATTCCCCATTGGAGGGTATATATTATGTAAAACAAAACGCAGTTTCATATTCTATGTAATGTATTTGATATTTATACATTGACAGATATTTATTCAGGATAATAAGTTATCAGCAAATCTGTTAACGTAATGGTCTCTTATTATGACAAAAAACATTTAATGTAATTGTGAGAATCAAAAGTGGGAGCATTTGCACCAGAAATTAAAAATAAAGAGGTAAATTCTTAATTGAATAATTCTATGTTTGGTAAACATTGGATATGTTCATTCTGTCTACTCAATCTACTTTATTATTGGTGATGATCATCAAAATGACCATGATAGCCTATACAGACTGATGCACCCGAGGCGTTATTTCACCACCAACAATTACTCCACATGGTTTTTTAACCCGTTGACTCTTGAATTATCTAATTGTCATAGGCTTGATACAGGGACCACTCGGTTACCATAGACAAGGGGTTAATGGATCAGGACAGCGTTTCACGAAACTGTCGTAAGTTCGCCGACAACCCATTATAACGCTGATATTAAATTTAACACGCGCTTCATTGGGATGTCGGTGAAGTTGTACTTGTGACGGTTTAGTGATACGATGCCCAGTTCGTAGTTAGCTTTGGTACCAAAATAATGACTATAAATATGCACAGATCTTTTACACATGCATGAGACGTCCCATTTGGTACATTTTAGATTAATCACTGCCAAAGAGAAGGAGGTGCTTCATGAATACCTGTTTTTTTGCCCTCTTGAGAAGACTACTTCCACCTGTGTATCAGAGGATGTACCATCAGTGAATGAGTGAATAATGATTACATTAAACATTCATGAGCACCAATCCAGTATTCGTCTCAACGTTTTCTTTTTAATACAATTTTGTTACAAATCAAATGACCAATTATCTGCCCATGCAAAGATTGCATTTACGAACTGGCTTATTCAATATAATTCATGCAACAGGAAACAGTGAACAAATAGACCCTATACAGATAATGATGACTGCTCCCGGAGTGGTTACATCAATGTTCTTTATATAATTATCTCTTTGTGTAAAAAGTGTCAAAAGGGCTATATTCGGACTATTCCGACACCTTGCACAAGGTCATTGTATCCTGCGCCAAGGGTTGCTTCTGTGGCTAGAAATTGCGCCTGGACCTATATTCTATATGCATTTTGTATGCCTGCAGATATCCTTGAATGCATGTCGCAATCAAAATAACGCCTCGTACACACTAGTCAGACAAAATGTCCCAGTGAAAGAAGGGTACATGATGCCTCAGTTCACCCCCCCCCCCCATTAATCCAATCCCAGGACATGCCTCCCATTATGCTCATCGATTTTCAAAAGTTCGCAAGTCCAACACACGAGATGCTGATTCATTTGCAATTTTAACTTGTCAAACAAAGATACTTATTTTTGTAAATGCATATCTGTTATTATATTCATAAAGATAAAGAATTCATATCTGGAACATCCGGAGAACATGAACAGATGCTTGAAAAACGTCCTTGTCCAACGAGTGATGCATAGACATGTACGTGTCAGTGAAACACCATTTTGTGAATCGGTGTAGGTGCTGATGTTGATGTGATGTGTTACAGTCTCTGCTTGTGAGGCTGCGAAAGAGTGTGTTCACCTCCAAAACCAATAATGCAAGACTGTTCGGTGTTTATGTTACACCTAACTGTGATGCATAGACATGTATACGTGTCAGTGAAACACCATCTTGTGACTCAGTGTAGGTGCTGATGTGAATGTGATGTGTTACATTCTCTGCTTCTGAGGCTGTGAAAGAGTGTGTTCACCTTCTAAACCGATAATGCTAGACTGTTCGGTGTTTCTGTTACACCCAACTGTGATGCATAGTCATGTACGTGTCAGTGAAACACCATTTTGTGAATCGGTGTAGGTGCTGATGTGGATGTGATGTGTTACAGTATCTGCTTCTGAGGCTGCGAAAGTGTGTGTTCACCTTCTAAACCAATAATGCTAGACTGTTCGGTGTTTCTGTTACACCTAACTGTGATGCATAGTCATGTACGTGTCAGTGAAACACCATCTTGTGAATCAGTGTAGGTGCTGATGTGAATGTGATGATTGTGTTACAGTCTCTTCTTCTGAGGCTGCGAAAGAGTGTGTTCACCTTCTAAACCAATAATGCTAGACTGTTCGGTGTTTCTGTTACACCCAACTGTAACTGTTATGAAGGGGGCAACGAACTTTTGGTATTGCTTCTCTCAACATTTGTTCATGGGCCATGGTTTGAGATGAAACTAAAGGTGGGTGTAAAATTGAGACTCCAAATTCTAAAAATTGATTCAGTTTAAATTAGTGTACAATCTCATATATAGAACGGGCTTATTGTACAAAGATATGATTTGATGGGTTCTGAGTTTATAGACAGATTCTCCTCTAGAGAATGTAGTAGAGGTGTCGCGGTCGAGTGGATACGTCGCCGACCTGTCGATCACAAGGTTCGTGGTGCGAGTCCCGTCCTTTGGCAAGACATTGATCTACATTTGCCTTACTCAACACATGTGATGTAAATGGGTACCTGGCAGGAATCAATTCCTTGAAATGCTTGAGCGCCTTAATGGCAGCCGTGCTAAAGCCAGGATAATAATCTCCCTCTGCGCCCTCAGAATAGTTTACGATGGCGCATTTCAAACGCTGTTGTATTATCTCCTATAAATGATTATTGTGTAATCTATAATTATGTATCATGTTATGGTGATCCCACCACAAGCCCAATGCCTTAAGGGAACCTCCTTCCTACATTGTAAATATACATTTCATGATTAAGTTCATTCTAATTTTGCGAATGAAATAAATGTAGGCCTATATCAAAATAATGTAAAATCTTGCAGATCATCCATTATAATAGCTTAATTACGATGTAGGGGGATATAGAAACGTTTATAGCTTGTATGTTTTCTCTTTGAGGTTACTTTTTGGAGATGGAGATGAATATTGCATTTTTTTTTGGACCGAGGAATTAGCGCAAATTGAACAAAAACGCATGCCATTGATTAGATCACGGTTAGTACCAGGAGCGAACTTTTGGAAATTTACAGGCCAAAACTCGGTACTGGGACGCGCTGACACCAATAAACAAGAACAGATGTCCATTTCTCAAAATGCCCCAGATATGAATTTTTTTAACTTACCAAATGTGATAACCGAGATAAACGCGATATGCAATGACAAAAATATATTTCTTTGTTTGTTCGTTCGTTCTTGTCTCCTTAGATCAAGATTAATTTAATCTTGATCTTCGGAGTAGTTGCTACAACTGGCCGTGTCAGACACGTTGCCCCGGGGTGCGAGATAGGACTCTTGTAGCGTGCCCCCATTTAAAACAATTATACAATTACAGTTAACATTACATTTAATTAATAGTATGAAACTATTAAAATTACTCTCATGTTACGGGAAAAAATATTGCATATATATATTATGAATCAATTGATTTGGTCGATCCAGTTCGATGGCACAAACACGGCACTACTGGACAGAGATCCTAATAATTACAGAGCTTGGTCTTGTTGCTCTGTTCGCCAGCAGTTTAAGGATATGGAATCCCGCGGCACATTACTCACAAGAGTTCTAACAAACCAAGCTTACTAGAGCCTATAATAAGTAATGTCGTGCATGTACCACCCACCCGATCGATCAAAAACTCATAACTCATAACTGAATTTTAAGAAATGAAAATGAAGAAGAAAAAAAAAAAAAAAAGTAAAAAGAAAAGAAAAAAAAAACACGAAATGGTAACCGTCTAAAATTTCATAGTTGTGATAAATATCTATAAAGATTATCAAGTACCAAAAATAAATAATATCATGTTCAAGAAAAGGATATATACACTTTGTATTCTATACATTTGTATATTTGTATTCTTTGTATTCTATTGTATATATTGACGAGCCATCCATCTTGTTTGACACCCCACAAATAAACGGAAAAGATACGGAAAATTATTATATTGGCAATTAAAGAGTTGCGCATTAATAGAAACAATTGTACTTTAAACTCATTTTTCTGTATTTCCCCTTTGGATGGAGATGAATATTATAAAATGGATCATGCAAATTTGAAAGAAAAGTACTCAAAAAGCATTATATTGATTGCAATACGATTCATTTGAGGAGCATCAGAAATTGACAGCGATTTTTTTTGTTTTTTTTTGAGGGAGAGTGGGGGGTCGCAAACTGAGTTTAGGTGGGGAAGATTCATATCGTTGAAATTATCGTATCTTGTTGTAGAGGTAGAGGGAGAGGGAGAGAGACTAGAGAGAGAGAGAGAGAGAGAGAGACACACAGAGAGAGAGAAATGGGAAGATAGAGTGAGAGAGTCTGTACTATGCATTTTACTGAATAGTATATCTTATTACTATTAGGCCCATCAGATACAGAAATGAAATTAAGAAATGAGATTCTGACGATATAAACAGATTTAGGCCTTTTGTGTTCCCCTCAACATTTTAATTCCATATCTTTTTGAGTATGCTGTACATTCTCGTGATTTTCTTTACATTTTACTTTTTTCCCAGTTTTTCCAAGGATAACAAAATAATTTTTCATCATGCATTTGATTGAATTGAATATGTAATTTCCATCATAGCAAATGAGATGAATACTTGACCGTACAAATCGTTTTCTAAGCTCACTGCATTGAGCTGTATGATACTGTATGGGTGCCAAAATCAACCATGGCGATGTACAATCGACACATAGAGATAATATAGATGAGGGCGCAAACACACTCAAGATTCAAATTTCCAAATTAATTCCTATACATGTCACACCGCTAAACCGACTCAAGACGACTATTTTGGGGGGCGTTGGAGGTGTCAATTAATTTTTTTAAATGTCTGTAGAGTCGATCTGGTTTCGGTTTCGTTGGTGTAACTTGGGTAGGCCTACAAGCGGTGTAAGTCTGAGTAGCACCAATTTTTTAAAACGAAATACTAACTCTTTTGTGCTAATTAAATATTGTTTCAAACTTCAGAAATTTGACTAAAATTACAGGCGAAAACTTTGGGGCGACGACACCAACAAACAAGAACAGTTTCCATTTCCCAAGATGCTCCAGATACGAGTTCTTTAGCTTAGCGAATTTCAAAAACCGACTTAAACATTACAAAAGTTTATTTCTTTGTTTGTATACATTCACGAATTATCCATCTAGGCTTATTTCACACTGCACACACAAACGAAACAGATACGAAAAATTATAATATTGCAATAGAGTTGCGCATGAATATCAAAACGTGTATTTCAAAGTCCATTTTCTGTTGTTTTCCTATGGAATGAGATGATTATTGTAAATAGATCATGCAAATTTGAAGGAAAATTGAACAAAAATGCATTACATTGACTGTAACAGGGGAGAGAGGAAGAAAAAGAGGGAGAGGGAGGGAGAGAGAGAGAGAGAGAGAAAGAGGGGGGGGGGGGGGGAATCGAGGGAGGGATCGAGGGAGATCGAGAGAGAGAAAGAGAGTGAGAGTCTAGCCGTGCGTATCACAGATGTTAATGGTTTCTGATACTGATGTAATTTATATCAAAACTGCATAGGCCCATCATACAGATTGAAATGATGGTTAGCCTTACATTACATGAAGTGTCAGGGCCTATAAACAGGCCTACCTCCGATTTCTCATGGAAATGCGAAATAAGGGGATGGAAGTAGGATGTTTTTAATTTGTAATTTATTGTTTGTGATTTGTTCCCGGCCGGGGGATTTGTTTTGTTTTATTTTGTTTTTGTTTTTTAACTTTTGTTTCTGCATGTGTTCTGATAATTATTGTTGTGGGCCCGGCTGAGCATGGGGCGCTGTGTGGCCGATCTTTGGGGCTTAACTTTTTCTTTGCCCTGTTTTGTTTTTCAACTTTTGTTTTGTCTTGTGTACGTGTTCTGATAATTGTGGGCACGGTTGTGGGGCGCTGTGTGCATGGCCGATCTTTGGGGGCTTATCTTTCTATTTGCCTTTTGCAAAAGCTCCCTGATATTAAACTGTAACAATGTGTCAAAGTGTAGCTCTCATTACAGATAGCTCCATGATATGACTGGCAATGCATGGTAGCTCTCTCTCTAACTTTGTTGTTGTTGTTGTTGTTTGGTATGTTAAATTTGCCTAATGTCCAGGCGTTTGACTATTAGGTATTTTATCCCTAAAAATCATGAATTACGTGTTTTCTGTAAAAAAAAAATGTCTCGTAGCTTTCATCAATAAAGAAAAGCCATCGAGTAGAAATCATTGAAATGCATGCATGTACTCTAGATACAGCGTTTATGGAGTGATTATAGTTTAGCAAAACTACCAATACAACCCACTCCTTGAACTCAGGCTACGACCGATCGACCCCAAAATAAAAAATAGAAAAAGTAGACCTAAAGCAAAGCACAAAAATACGAGAAAAATGGCAGCGATCAAGGAACCTGCAGTGCCCAACGGGCCTAAAGAGATGAGGAAATCGTTTCAATATCCAGGTGATATACCCCTTGAGTTATATGACTGGGTTCCAGCTCAGCAGGAAGGATTCAGGGAAAAATTGATCAAGAAACTGAAGCAGAATCCATTCGTCCCAATCGGTAAGTTACGCAACCTGTCCATACTCGCTCATTACGCACTGGTATAAATGCACGTCCATCGTATGTGTGAGTATTGTATGCACTCACCCGCTAGTTACGGCTGCAAGCTGCAGGCGGTTAGCATTCGCGTTCCATTTGCTCATGTGCGGTTATTTTTACCCAAGAGGAATGGTGGAAGTCCTAAAACAGCGGGTTGGGTCACAATTTTTTCGAAATTTAAAGAGGTAGTATTTTGACTTACAATGTTTTTCGACTCCTCTGGGCATCTTTCCAACCACTTAAAGTTAAAATTATACTTTGAAAATGTCTTCGATTGGAAAAAGGGTGATTCTTCGTCCTAACCCGACGATTCATTCATGTTGTATCGTTGATTTAACATGGCGAAGAGACATTACAGTGAATATTCATGATATAGAGCGCTGTTCACTCGAAATTGCTGAATATGCAAGAGGTTGAGGAGAGCTTTGTCTCTTCGTTCACAATGTTGGTTCATCGGAAATGCAAATCAATGCAGCCTGCAGGTACAGTTTGATACGTTTACAACAGTAGTGGTTAGTGTAAAAAGGCGCATGCAGCTTACAGGGAGTGTTGCTTAATTTAGCCTAACAGGGAATTACTCAATCCTTGCGCATGCCTGCTTAAAAACTAAGCTAATCGCTATTATTGATCGACAATATAAAAGAAATAACACCTGGAAAATGTCAATGTTGTAAATTTTTGAAATAGAGCTCCAAAATAGTTTGAAAGTGTACAAATCGTGGCCCATGATCATTAAAAAAAAAAAAAATCATCCTTTAAATGTTAATCCTAATCCCTATTCCCTGAACAATCTCAATCTTGATCCGATCTATATCCTGCATTCAATATAAATAAACCAACTATATTGTACTAACCTTGCCTCTATCTTATCTTATCCTGGGATAATGATATGCTGTGTGTCAGGGTGAGATACCATGGTTTATCGGGCTTACTTTGAATCATTGGCTCATTGCATCCGGTCAGGTGGTCATGTCACCCAACATTTTTTGAAAACATACCCCTATATTCACAAAACGTCTTGGCTAATGTTTGTGAAATAAACCTCTCTCATCTACTAATGGTCTGGTCCAATTAACCTGACAATTTGTGAAAATATCTATGAAAGGTCGCTTTATCTTCTTCTTTAGTTTCATGACAATGTGTGTTATGCGGCCTCCCGACTAGACGTGATGACCTGATGGTTCGAAGTAAGCCATTTATAGCGCATTTGTAGTCTTGTAGATTAGCTTTTGACTCTTTATTTTTACTGTTATGTCCAGGTTGCCTGGCTACTGCGGGAGCCTTGACGTATGGACTGGTCATGTTCAAGCGAGGCAACACAGCCAGGTCCCAGACCATGATGAGAGCTAGGGTAGCAGCCCAAGGGTTCACCATTGCAGCCATACTGGTAGGCGTTGTCATGGGAGCAGGAAGGACAACGCCCACTGAAGGACCAAAGTAAAGGACTCGTCTTATCTCCGGGATCGCACAAATGATATTTTGCTATAACTGTGGAGATTGAGAGTTGAATAGCGTGAAGTAATTGTGCTTCCTAATAGACTGATTGACTTTTAAGAACATGCCAACATCGGTCCTAATTAGGGGCTAAATAAGGGCTCCTATTGTATAAAGGTGATACAGTAATTGCCATCATCAACAGGTCTTTTGCCATCATGTGTGTTGACGGAGGATATTGGGAGCTTGGTCAACATTTTCCTTGTTGTGACACAAGGTTTTGTTTTTGTTCAGTAATCTAATACAAATGAGAATGAAGGAGAAGGTATATCTTCAGTGTTGCACTTATTTTCTTAACTATCACAGCTTGATGCATCTTTTACCAAAGCGAATAATCTACATCTAAAGCTGTATGATAGAAATGATGACTTTTAACAACAGCCAACGCCAAATGTGTTTGGTGTACACTGTCCATCGTAATGTTGATAAAGGGATCCTTTTGCCAGAGTATGTAGAGTTGGACTTCAAATGAGTGCAGCAAAGGAGCTCTATGGGTGATGAATGAGTGAGACAAAATAAACACATTGTGACTTCACGGCCCTGTCTTACATAGAGTTGCAATCGATCCAATGTATTAAATTTAACATGATAGTGTTAGGGTTGATCCATTGCAAGGCGGGGCCTATGTCTTGCAATTTTGTAAGGTATTGGAATTTGCAAGAAAAAAGTTCTTAGATTTGCATACACAGTGCGATCAAAGCTTTCAGATAAGAAGTTGCTGTCTCATTTAATTAAAAAAAAAAGTCATTGAACAAATTTTGAAGTCATTAAAAGGCTACAAGCATCTCTGTTAAATGCCTTATGAATGAATTATGTAAGAGGCATTTGTAAGGTTCTCCAGTACAATACTTGAAGACTTTAGATTCTCAAAGTTTCATCATGAGAAATAACTGATTCACAACATACATTTTTTGCAAGTGGTGAAAGTTCTTGCCTGGCCATGAAATTTGCATAATCATTGTTTTCCTGTAGAAAATTGTTGTTTCTATTTTTTTTAATTTTTTTTTTACATGACTTTCTGTAGGAAATATCAGCTTACATATAAGGATATTAATGTTGCTGTGATGAAGAAAAATATCGTCATTCACGTACTGGTAGCCTTTTTAAGAATCTTATCATTATTTTATTTTATTTTTTAAGCATTTGGCATCACCTGTGCAGGGGAGAGGAAAAGCATAGTGAAATACTGTTATCTTGTTTCTGATGGGAATATACCAGTAAGCAAAAAAAGTACTTTATGTTGAGTAATCATGTATTCATCAATTAAAAATATGTTGAACTGACATGATTTGGCAAATTATATAGCTTTTCTTTTTCCTCAGTGCTTTCTTCCTACATGGGAGTCATTGTATAAAGGATGACAACAATTACAATGATACATGTATGTGAGGGTCTTGCTTTGAACAACAGACAGTTAAATATTTAACTTTACATTTAGGCAGTGTTAAAATAATGTTTTGTACAGGAGCATTTCAGATTTTGATTCTATTCATTAAAATCTGTACATGTATTTTCTTGCTGTGAAACTTACAAATAGGTCTAGCAGATCCACATTTGTATTTGGTTGTCCCAGCTGTGTCAGTCAAAGGGGCTTTTCACAAAATGACATTGTGGACCTTGGCTGATGGTGGTCACTTATTAAACTCTACTATAAGGGAGGCTTTAACCCTGTTCTTTTGTAAGAATGGTGGCTCAATATTTTTATTGAGGTTGACAGCAAAGTTTTCCACCCATGTATTCACTTTGGTTTTCGAAAATCTGTCCAGTCTTTACAATACCGGCATGCATGCAAATAGGTCACTTGTGTGTTATATAGCAGTATTTTTAAATATTAATACATGTCTTGAGACTACATAAACAAGTACCTTAATAACAGTGAAAGCTTAATCATGTATCACGGCAGATTTAGTGAACTACACACTTGATCACTTACATTTGTAGAGAATAAGGAAAGAGGTTCATGTCTATATATGTATGTTGCACAAATTTTTAGTTAAATGTTCTTTTTTTAACATTATTTTTTATTTTAATTTTTAGTTAAATGTTATTTTTTAAACATTATTTTTTATTTTAATATGGTGACAAATTGTTTTCATGCTACACTGTACTTTCATCTAAAATTTCGTCTTTATTTCATCTTCGGTGGTCTTGTGTAGATTTACCTATCCAGGATGTACATGTAGCTACAGTGTAGTCAAGGGAGGCATGCACCAGAAGTAATCATTTGGGATCAGAAGCACGTCTGTCCCAATTAGAGAGATCATTCGAAGAAAGGTGAACATTGCTTGGCAAAGTGCAGTCCATTGTTAAAGAGCTGTAGTATCATTTGCCAAGTACATTTTATTTAGCCACCTAACATGATCAAGTTGTTGACGTTTATCCTTTGCCTATGAATGTAATGGATCAATAGAGAGCAATAGACCATTTTTATAACGTGATCAAATGTAATGCACAAATCTATGTTAAAAGCCTTGTTACAAATTATTTCATTCATCTGTTACGAATAATTGCATTTCAATAGTCAGAATGCAGATTGCATACTTGTACATTGCGTGTTGTGAGGTAGGACTAGCCATAATGTTTGTCCAATCTAGCGACAATTAATGTACATGCAATTTGCATTCTGACTACTGAAATACAATCATTTGTAACAGGTGAATGAAATAATTTGAAAAAAGGCACTTTACAAAGATTTGTGCATTAAATTTGATAATACATGTATTACGAAAATAGTCTATTGGTTAACTTAATTCTCCCATCATTTTAATACGAGTGGATAGCAGTGAACATACATGTACCAATCACATGGAAATACAATTGTGTCTAAAATGATGTGCTACGTGTGTGTTTTTAATGTAAATAATGTATGATTGTAAATGAACATTATCATCGGATTTATTAAATGTCACCTCCGTGTCGAGTACGACAACCTTTACTTCTCTGAATTTCTAACATGATATAGTTGTTTGTTTGTTTGGAATGATTTGTGATTGACTTTGGATGATAGTGAGCTTTGGGGAAGGTGTGATCGACCCATGTCAATTGCCTGTTCAGAGCCGAGAGGGAGTAAGTTCTGTGTTGAAGTGTACCAATCACCACAGAAGTATAATTTGTGTCAATTAAAGCCCCACTGCACTACTTATAGCTACTTGCGCCCTCTATATAGCAAACAATGCCTAATCGGTGACCATTTGTCTCCCATGATCCTTTTTTTCTTATGTTAATTGAGAATTTATTTGATGAGATAACCACCTGTCAGTGACAATGCAAGGTCTAATCTCTCCTGGCCAAACTAGTGCAGTGGGGCTTTAAAATGTATAAAATCAACCTAAAAAAATCTTTACTCAGCAATATAACGGGCTAATGTATAAGGAGTATGAAGAAATTGAAAGATATCATAAAATGAAACCGAAGTCAGACTTTGGTTCTGTACAAGTCATATCCTATGCAAGTGCATACGTGAGCATAGACTACTGTACTTGAAGGTCGCTCCTTGGTAACTTGAGAGGGCACTTAAATTTGCAATAACTCTTTATAGAATTAATATTTTGAGTAAAGTACAGCAATATGGAACTCTTTACATACAGAGCAAAAGGTTGTTGGGTGATCATACACTTGGTAATTAAAGTACCGGTACATTGTATATGGATCAATGCCCTTCTGGCTCCAAACCGATGATATAGTGTACCATATTGACGAGGTAATGTGTGCTGTAAATCCTTCTCCACATGACAAGGTGTAATTCAAATTGATTACCTTGTTAAACGAAAAGAAACTCCAAATTATATGAAAATGAAAATATCCCTGTTGGTGTCATGTGTTTGCACAATTCAACATTATGTTGCGAGGCACGGTTGTTTTCTTTTTTTAATAAATACTATTTTGAATCCGTTTGGAGCCAAGAAGACATTGACTCTGTGCAAAATCACATGATTTAATGCCATTTGGCTCCCAACATGATGTATTCTTGTGTCCTACAGTAAAAGACTGGTCAGGTTATGACCCCCCCCCCCCACCCAAAACATCGTTATTCATTTACATATGGGTTTAAATTTTGCCTCTGCATTTTTGCTTAACTGCCTCATGTGGAAATAAGGTTTTTGAGGAAATTCTGATTTGAAATTTGTGTGTGTGTGTGATTGTCATTTCTTAAAATCTGTAAAATGGTAAGATCTGAAAATAATTTTGTCCAAACACCCCCACAGTGCTTCAAAGAGACTTGTGTATAGTCAAACTAACTTCTCTGTCAGAGTGCCATGTAAAATCTCTACGTGGTTGATTTCATCAAATCGAACAACATTATCAGAAAGATATTTTGAACAAAGGTGTTCTATTTTTACAGTAAAGTTAACAATTGAAAACAAAGGGCATGATGTCCAAAAACTAAAAAAACTAGCACAAAGATAAATAAGGATTCATTGTAGACAGATTGAAAGTTTAGTAACCTTTAGTACATGTACAAAACATCAAATAGACATCTGATATACATATGTAGTTTCTACTTCTTTTTACACTCACTGAACATTCTATATACAAGTTTCACAATACTTGGATACGACTCAAGATATCTGTTTGCCTACTAAATGGGAATATTATTAGATCCAAAAATGAAGATCTTGTAAAACAATAAACAAGACCTATACATGTACACAAGATCAAACAAAACTATTTTCTGTTCTATCAAGAAAAATGCATCGTCTTCTGTGGAGAACCAGAAGGCCTTAAAGAGAAGGTTGAGTTCTGGGAAGAGGTGAAAAATAATTTGTGAGCGTTACTCATTCTTATTATGCAAGTGTGGAAGAACATCAGATAAGACATGTTCCCTGAAAAGCATGGCTCTTCAAATGCCTTCATATTCTAAATATGCATGTAACATCGTAAAAATCGGGGGGGGGGGGGGGGGCGGCTTTTTACGCCACGTGTTCGTGTAGTCCCAAATACATCTTTCGGTGTACAGTGTTTGTAACTTTACCAAGACTTGGCCAAATTTCTTATCATTTTGATGATTCCAAAACCTTGCAATACACACAAATTCTTATATGCTAGATGATCAACCTTTTCTGATCGATTCCACACCGTTTCTTTCACAATGCAATCGCATGACCAGAACTCAACTTCATCTTTAAATCAATAAGGACTGATTTTAACTCACAGTCAAACTAAGTCGGAGTACTGTTCAGGTTGAGAGAGACATGAAGTAAAGTACTCTTGACATAAATAACTGCAGGAAAGTACCTAAATCAATAACAGAAACCTATTCAAATAATAATTCCCTGTCACATATCTAACCCTGTCACAGAAAAGACTCACAAATGTACGCGATATATAGATTAAGATCTGGTCGTAAATGATATGAACAACAACTTCTCCTGAACATTCTTTTACACATAACTGACATGTATGAACATCTTCAACTCATTTTAAATAATCTATTAAGGTTACTGATAAACTGTTGATCTGTGCATCAGGTTAAATCTGGCAAGTGACATTGGTGGGATTTCATAGATTCCTGTTGGTACTCTGGATATATCTTAAAGTCTACCAGTCACCAACAAAACACAATTTGTTTTGCATGTTTGGCTTTCCTTGTCGCTACTATATACTAAAAAAAATGAGCTTGAAATCTTACTTCTGTAAAGAGATATTACAACTTTAAATAATAAATATCCTCTTGGTTTAAACATAAAAGCGACTTGTTAGTGGAATACACCTGTATGAGCTCACTTAGAATAGGGCCTGACTTGGGTTCTGTGTGTACGGTTTTATGCTTTTCTTAATTTTCGTCATAATTCTTATCCGTTGGTCAATAGAAAGTGAGGTAAAGTTTTTAAAGGTTGACTTTACACATTCTAGCTAGCTGTACAAAAATTGTTTTTAGATGATTCAAAATGATTTAAATTCACTGACAGGTTCAATATGCATGTAACATCGTAAAAATCGGGGGGGGGGGGGGGCGGCTTTTTACGCCACGTGTTCGTGTAGTCCCATAAACATCTTTCGGTGTACAGTGTTTGACAGGTGAAATTTACAAGGGAGGAACTTCCAAATCAATTTAACATACTAGAGAGAAAATCAGGAATGTTGTAATGTACAGCACTCAAAACAATGAACTTAGGGAATAAGGGCAATTTAATTCACAGAAATTAGAAGTGAGTGCAGAAAGCAAAAGGACGAAATATGTCAACAGAAGAGAGATATAAAAAATTAGTCAAGTTAATCAGGGGATAGTGAAGGTTATAGGGGAGACAGAAAAACTGAGAAGGCAGAGGATTATACCAAAAAGAAAAATACAGTGAGAGGGGTCAGGGAGAGAAAGAGTGAGAGGTAGAGGGAGAGAAGGAGTGAGAGGTAGAGAAATACATGTAGAGAGCGAGAGCGAGAGAGAGATATAGATATATTTGGGTTCTTAAATGGACATGTGTGTTCTACAGCATTGAACGACTGAATACACATGAATAGACTTACAACATGTACTCAATAAAGCAAGTCAAAAACAAATATAGGAATGCAATTTCAATTTTTTAAATGACATCAAAATTGAATTATTACCATTATTATGAATTATAAATGAATACAACTTAGCACAAATACACAGAAATAAAATCATGCATATCTTTTTTCCCCTCCAAAGTCACCTGAATTAGATTCAGTTATTTCATTTCCTACATCATCCTTACGTTATCCATACCAAGCATCACCAACAACAACAACAACAGCAATAGCAATAATAACAGAAACTCTCTGTACAAAATAATTACAGGTGTATTTACATCGATGTGTTACACACAAATAACGGGTCACACGATATTTGCTCCAGCAAAAATTGCTCTGAACTATCCATCATCCACAATAAAAGGTTTAATAGATTAAGGATTGCAATTTGGTATGTAGGTTAGGTTTAGAGTTAAGGTTGGAGTAAGGTATAGTGTTGGGTCAATGGTTTAAAGGCCAATCCAACCTTTGTAATAAGTTCATTTGTATGAAAGCAGAAAACTAAGAAAAACAGAGTGGCGAAAGTTTGAAAAAATTGTTGGAACAAATGGGAAAGTTGTCTGGCACTACGTCAAAGTGACATTAACGCTTCAGCCCAAAATGCCCGTACATAGTGATTACATCTTTCAAAAATTCAAATTTTCTTTCTGATTTCATTCAAACATTTACCAGTCTGCTTCTCTGCTTTCGTTTAGAGTACTTGTCTGTTAAAGTTGGATTTTCTTTTAAGTTAAAAATTTCCCTTGAAGAAATTGACCGCAGACAATAGTCGCTGGAGCATGCGTTATTCAATCAAATGACGATGGGATTCAAATGGAGTACTAGTTCTTTGAGAGGACGGACATGAGATCTAAGACTTCAGACATGTTGGCGCTCTTTTTCTCTGCTGAGGAGCTCACTTCAAGCAGATGGACATCTCTACCCTTGAGGGGTAAGACCAGGTCTAAGCTGGCCAAGAAAGCACCTCCTTTCTTAGCTCCAGGAAGATCCTAACAAAACAAATAAAGAATGAATGTCATCATGATAATGAAAATCATCGGATTCAGGCTTACCCGCACATAATGTATGTAAATTCTCCACTCCCTGGGAGCATTCCAACCAGGCATCATTTTCACAATCGCACACTTGCTCATCTAACCACATTAACTTTTGCATCCTACTGGGTACTCATTTAACACCTGGGTAGAGAGTGGCAAATGTAGATCAATGTCTTGCCAAAGGAAATTGGTGCCGGGGCGGGACTTAGACTGCGGACCTTGTGATCCACAGTCATGTGACATGTCCACTGGATCACGACACCTCTACATCAATTCCTCACAAAGAGTTGTCATGGTCTAGTGGATACAGTACCTGCTGCAGCACTAATGTCCTTTGGCAAAATATAAATCTAGATTTGACACTCTCCATCCAGGTGTAGGAAAAAATTCCTTGAATACTTGAGCGCCTTATCATGGTAGCTTGGCTAAACCAAGGGTAACAATATGATTAAAGGGGCTCTTCAGGAGAACGTTATAAATACTGATGAGGATACCCTTGGTAAACAAGACTTATTATCATTATTATCATCATTATAATTCAAATTCATCAGTAAAATGAACTATAACAATATGTCGTCATTCAAGATTCCCATTCACTTAAAATAGAGTCTTAATAATAATATTCAGCTTTTATAAAGCGCTTAATACATCTCCAACGTCTCTAAGCGCTTTACAGATAAAATATAACCCTGGTCATTGGATTCAGTGCTTCCCCACACACACTGTGTGCACAATATTGCATATGGTTCAAAGGAGAACACTCATATTCCTCCATTTTGTTGATGGCAAATCAAAAGGCAATAGCCCCACAAGCGCTAATTTTGCAAGATACTTTGAATGTAACAAGATAGCACCAAATCTACAGTATCCTGAAAACTACCCCCAGGATGACTATATCCAGAACAGCCACCCCAAAAATGCCGCCCCTTGAGACAATTGCTCCTCAGAACACTTACACCTAGCCAACTATCCTCCAAGATAACCTCCATTTGAACAACTATTCCTTACATTATACTAATACCCATATTTTTTAAACATGCATTATACTCGGCAAGGCTCAACACTAACAGGTTTCCGGAACACATTGAGTATTCTTCCTAGAATATTTCCCATTTTTGTTAAGTTAAGTTTAGAAATCTTTTGTTGGCACTAAAACTCTACCTGTTTGTTGGCAACGACCAAAAGTGGGACCTTTTCTAGTCGTCCGTCTTTCAGGAGTTTGTGAAGCTCTTCTTTAGCTTCAGGAAACCTGACCTCATCGGCTGAATCTACCACAAAGACAAGGAGCTCTGTGCCCTGCAAGAAGTTATCCCAATATGACCTCACATTCTTGGTTCCACCAACTGTACATAAAGGAAGATGAAATAAATGCTTATAATTGTGAATGGTTGTTACAGTAAATCAAAAGATGCGGATAAGAAAAGCATTCATATCGTTGGAGCAAAATACCACATAAAATAAAGAATGATGTTCATTCTGTTACTTAAAAACATAACATATTAGTGCAATGCTTAACTGCATAAATCTTTGCAAATATTGACCAATTATTACTAAACAATGGAATACAAAACAAATGGAACAATACTCCTTTACTTAAGTATTGTTCTTCAATGAATGTTTATGAATACAAAAATTATTGACTATCGGTACTTGGAATGTAACATTTCTTCTATCTAAATGAAGAAATCCGAAGTACTGGTAATGTAATTAGTAATTACTGTACTAGTTGAACCAATTTACTACTCTAACCCACTAGTACTTTAAACTGACAAGGCAATCCATGATAAACTATGGACTCTTGAGCATACCTTCCCAGACGTTGAGAGTTGTATTCTTGGCTTGAATGCACATGACGTTGAAGCCTTCTGTTGGCTCCAGCTTGCCATCTCCCTCTTGATGACTCAAACATTTTAGTAGACTGCTTTTCCCTGCTCCATCCAATCCAAGAACAAGGACTCTTTTTTCAGGATTCGCCGTCTGCCAAGGCAAGAACATCAATTCACTTTTGATACACAAAAGTCCAATGATTCAATTTTTGATATGTTTCAGATGATATATTCATATGACTTTGAGAAATATAAAAATTTTGAGCAAGGTCAGATGATGGTGACCGTGTTCATGTTGAGGCAGTGTAATGTCTATGGCAATGAGGGAATTGACATTGCTTTTAATAGAAGGTGCTAGAGATATTCATATTTCCCAAATTCCTATGAATATATCATCTGAACCATATAAAAAATGGAATCATTGGATTTCAATGAAATTATACATAGAAGATTCAAGAATCCCTTGATTCCCTTCATAACTCACTAACATAGAATTTTTACATTAATCCATTTCCTATGTTGAGGCCTGTTTACTGTCGAATTTGCAAAAACCTGCATGAAATACTGCCCTCTCAATGGGAAGCGATAGAAATGAAAGAGTGCTGTTTTTATTATGATTTCAAAGTCTTGAAAATCACTGAAGAAACGGCCTGATTGGCATTTGGCAGAATAATGATATAAAATGGACAATGATATAAAAAATACAAAAATAATCACATGAACGGCACCTGTGCTCAGTATTTCATAATTAGATGTGAATATACAAATGAAAGTAAAAAATAGGCCTACAGAGATTTGGTGAAAGACGTACAGTACCCCGACTTTGACGGAACGTAGTTTGAAAACTAGCCAATCAGACTTGAAACACCAAATAAACAATTTAAAGAGTGAACGATGGACGATTGAATTAATGAGAGTATACCGAGATGTTGTGAATCCGGACAGTTGATTTAAAACAGCAATTTGATGAAGTTAACAAGCAATTATTATATTTTATAAATCTTCCAAGACTTACATATGTTGGATATATTATTATAAACATGATAAAGGACGAATATTCAGGGAGGGAAAGTAGTTTGAAAACTAGCCAATAAGACTTGAAACACCAAATAAACAATTCAAATAAAAAACATAAGTAGGTCTAGTCTATACCGAGACGTTGTGTATTCGGACAGTTGATTTAAAACAGCAATTTGAAGAAGTTAACAAGCAATTATTGTATTTCATGAATCTTCCAAGAATTATGTTGGATATATTATAATAAACGTAATATTAAAGGACAAATATTCATGACGGTTAGTTGTTTATTAGGCAGTAGGCCTAGATTCTAGAGTAGAGGGTAGACCCACTCCAGCAAAGCATAGAGAGTCAATGATAGACCCTACTCTAGACAGTGCTATTTGATGAATATATAAATAATTTTCTGTTGAATTCAAAGGCAAAAGAGAAGTCCTTATGTTTGTTCAGTCAACTTCAGAATCAGCGTCCAGACGGCCAATCCCCCATCATAATTGACAAATAGTAGAATTACCATGGCAACCAACTGAAATTGAAAAGTGAAATGAAACAATAATTTTACATTTTTACATAAATTTTACTAGATCTAGATCTATTTTTAATTTTAGGAATCTGATTGATCGCAAATTAGAAAATTAATAACTTTCTCATGTTTTGGTCGGAATTTGCTCAAGGTCTCACTGACCTATTCCTCTCATTTTCTGCTTCTATCAAAACTAACTTAACAAGACTTCCCCTTTAACAAACTTATAAATGAACATGTGGGGCAATATAATATAATTTGGTATATTTACATCTGCTCGAGTACTTTCCCCAGGTCCTGCAGTGCCACTAACAGCTAATCTTTTGTAGAGGATATATGTTCCACCAATTAGAGATGCACTTGTTCCAACAACAACGGCAGCTTTTGATAAGAAAGACAATTCTTGAAACCACGATAACGCCATTGCTGATCCGCTGAAATTAGACCTCTGAGTTTGTGGAATTACGCTTTTACGGTATCTTAGAAAATGCGGATAAATTAACAACTAATTTTGTTTAGAGAGGGACCGTGATACGCCGTTTTCAACATACTCTATCTTTAGTTAAACGGGTGGGTGATTTTTAGATTCCTTGCCTCTGTTGGACCATCATTGAAAGAAAATCAATGAAACAATTTCAAACTTAAATTTAAAGCATACACAATTAAATATAGATGATGTAGTCAGAAAATCACTGGAATGAATTTCGCCTTATTCATGCAATGAATTTCTTTTTAAACAACCCTGAAAAAACAAATAATTCAATCTATTTCGTTTGGAGATATGCTTCACAGCGCATCAAGAGACAAAATACTTATTTTTTTATAATCCTCAAAGCAGGATTTTTACCGTCTTCCCCGTAGAGATGAAATCGTAATATACATTGTATTTCTATGGTCTACACAGAGGGGGGGGGGGGGGGGGGGGGGGGGGGGGGGGGGGGGGGGGGGGGGGGAAGCTTCTTTCAAAGTGGGGGTGCCCCAACAAAAAGGCATTTTCTGAAAAGAAAGGGGAATCTACTAAGGGTAAACTCCAAGTGAAACAATATTAGACGTTCCAATTAATACATTATCAGATGATGACCTTTCACATTATACTATATTTTGCAGTTGTGTGTGATTGTTGAAGATTCATTTACAAGCGAGCAAGAATTAAAAGATTTATGAGGTCGCATTGTAAACAAAAAAGATTTTATTATTTAAATAAAATCATCGATCCCGATTGGGATTTTAGCACAATAAAAGTATGAAAGAATAAATAACAAATTAAACAATTACTTTATAAGCTTAGTTTTATCCTAGCTGGCGTAGCCTACCGAGTGAGCTTGAGAAGAAAAAAAAGTTTTAAAAAAATGCTTTCAGTCGCTCCAGGCTAAAGGAGAAATCTGTTATTTCGGGGGATGTGGGGTAATAAAAATATCTTATCATAGCATACCGTATACGAAGTCTTTAAAAAAAAAAATGAGTGACATTAATTTTTATGAATGCAGTTGAATGGAGAAAACCCCTTCATTGCTTTAACCTTTTTTAGGGCAATTTATCAGCTTGGTACTATTTCTATGATGGTCAAAAGGTCATGGGGTTTACAAGATGAGAGATCGGAAGAATGCCTCATTAGCAATATGCTGATAAAATACTTGTATCCCTTTGTTGAGGAGGAGGGGGTGTCCCCTAAACAAAAAAAAAGAAAAACATGATTAAAAAACTCAAGGTAGAAAGGCATAGCAGCGAATCGAACCGAGTACATCTGTATTGTGAAGCGATGTCTAATCCACATGACCACTGTGCTTCACTGATATTAACTTGTTCGGTGCAAGATGTTAACACTTTCTGATGTTAATGACTTTAAAAAATATGCTGATAAACTACTTGTACTCCTTTGTTGAGGAGGAAGGGGTGTCCCTTAAACAAAAAAAAGAGATGAAAAAAAAACGTGAGGTAGAAAGGCGTAGCCGGGAATCGAACCGAGTACATCTGCATTGTGAAGAGATGTCTTATCCACAAGTCCACTGTGGTTCACTGATATTAACTTGATCGGTGCAAGATGTTAACACTTTCTGATGTTAATGACTTTAACAAATATGCTGATAAACTACTTGTACTCTTTTGTTGAGGAGGAGGGGGTGTCCCTTAAACAAAAAAAAAGAGATGAAATGAAAAAACACGAGGTAGAAAGGCATAGCTGGGAATCGAACCGAGTACATCTGTATTGTGAAGCGATGTCTTATCCACATGACCACTGTGCTTCACTGATATTAACTTGTTCAGTTCGATTCCCGGCTACGCCTCTCTACCTCGTGTTTTTTTTTCATCTCTTTTTTTGTTTAGGGGACACCCCCTCTTCCTCAACAAAGGAGTACAAGTAGTTTATCAGCATTTTTTTTACAGTCACCAACATCAGAAAGTGTTAACATCTTGAACTAAAGTAGAAGACATCTACCTGCTCTGTGGTATTGCCCCTCCACACGTCAGAAGGTTGGTCTTGTCCCAGAAAGAAAAGGACAAACAAGAAAACAATCCACTCCACCCACTCTTCGAACAACAGCCAGTGGGCAAGCGGCTCAAATCCAGACACAGCTTTCTGCACTCTGTAGAGCCTCTTAATACTAGCCCTCACAACCAAAGGATGATTTTGTGGTCTAACCACCTTCAGACCACTCCACATAAACTCTCCCTCAGCCCGAAGGAATCCCTCGCAACCGGCTCCAGTGAGACTAGGCCTACCTGGCTTAGCCTCAACCGCCTAAGAACTGTCTACGGTCGATGCAGAGTCCTAATGCAGAGGTGGGGTCTAGGAGACGAACAAACGGCATGTGAATGCGGCCAGGAACAGACAATGGAACACCTGCTAGTCTGCCCACTCCTGCCAGGGCCATGCACCCAAGATGACCTGGAAGCCGTGAATTGCCGTGCCAAACACTGGACGGGACTTGTGTAGTGACTCGATAAGAAGAAGAAGAGTGAAGCACAGTGGTCATGTGGATAAGACATCGCTTCACAATGCAGATGTACTCGGTTCGATTCACGGCTATGCCTGTCTACCTCGTGTTTTTTAATCATTTTTTTTTCTTCATATTGATTGTCCTTTTCTTTTTTCGTTTAGGAGACACCCCCTCTTCCTCAACAAAGGAGTAAAATTAGTTTATCAGCATATTTTTCAAAGTCATTAACATCAGAAAGTGTTAAGATCTTGAACCGAACAAGTTAATATCAGTGAAGCACAGTGGTCATGTGGATAAGACATCGCTTCACAATGTAGATGTACTCGGTTCGATTCCCGGCTATGCCTTTCTACCTTGAGTTTTTTTTTTTCATCTCTTTTTTTGTTTAGGAGACACCACCTCCTCCTCAACAAAGGAGTACAAGTAGTTCATTAGCATATTTTTTTTAGTCATTAACATCAGAAAGTGTTAAGATCTTGAACCGAACAAGTTAATATCAGTGAAGCAAAGTGGTCACGTGGATAAGACATCGCTTCACAATGCAGATGTACTCGGTTCGATTCCCGGCTGTGCCTTTCACCTCGCGTTTTTTTCCATCTCTTTTTTTGTTTAAGGGATACCCCCACCTCCTCAACAAAGGAGTACAAGTAGTTCATTAGCATATTTTTTTATAGTCTTTAACATCAGAAAGTGTTAACATGTTGAACCGAACAAGTTAATATCAGTGAAGCACAGTGGTCATGTGGATAAGACATCGCTTCACAATGCAGATGTACTCGGTTCGATTCCCGGCTATGCCTTTCTACATCGTGTTTTTTAATCATTTTTTTCCTTCATATTGATTGTCCTTTCTTTTTATGTTTAGGGGACACCCCCTCTTCCTCAACAAAGGAGTAAAATTAGTTTATCAGCATATTTTTTAAAGTCATTAAAGGGATCCGGTAACTTTGTCTCAGATTCTGAAATAAAATTCTGGATTTAGCTCATGATGCAATGATAATTATAAACCTTTAGATCAGTCAGGAACCCCATGACTTTTACAAGCCGATCGCCTGTCTGATTATCAAGATATTTATGATTGGAATTACAAATTTTGAAAACCGTTCGCCTGACGGTTTTCATAACACTACAGTCTATTGGGGAAAACGAATATGGTAAAACCGGTCACTCAAAGATTTTTACTTTTTGAGGCACTTCTTGATCATTTTGAAGCGCAATTTTTTTTAGGGCTTCAATATTACACCATATCACAGACACTGATAACACGTAGAGCCGTGTATCTCAGATTTAACAATGTTAAACGATCCCTTTAACATCAGAAAGTGTTAACATCTTGAACCGAACAAGTTAATATCAGTGAAGCACAGTGGTTATGTGGATAAGACATCGCTTCACAATGCAGATGTACTCGGTTCGATTCCCGGCTATGCCTTTTTACCTCGCGTTTTTTTCATCTCTTTTTTTGTTTAAGGGATACCCCTCTTCCTCAACAAAGGAGTAAAATTAGTTGATCAGCATATTTTTTTAGTCATTAACATCAGAAAGTCTTAACATCTTGAACCGAACAAGTTAATATCAGTGAAGCACAGTGGTCATGTGGATAAGATATCGCTTCACAATGCAGATGTACTCGGTTCGATTCCCGGCTATGCCTTTTTACCTCGCGTTTTTTTCCATCTCTTTTTTTGTTTAAGGGATACCCCCACCTCCTCAACAAAGAAGTACAAGTAGTTCATCGGCATATTTTTTTAGTTATTAACATCAGAAAGTCTCAACATCTTGAACCGAACAAGTTAATATCAGTGAAGGACAGTGGTCATGTGGATAAGACATCGCTTCACAATGCAGATGTACTCGGTTCGATTCCCGGCTATGCCTTTCTACCTCGTGTTTTTTAATCATTTTTTCCTTCATATTGATTGTCCTTTTCTTTTTTGTTTAGGGGACACCCCCTCTTCCTCAACAAAGGAGTAAAATTAGTTTATCAGCATATTTTTTAAAGTCATTAACATCAGAAAGTGTTAACATCTTGAACCGAACAAGTTAATATCAGTGAAGCACAGTGGTCATGTGGATAAGACATCGCTTCACAATGCAGATGTACTCGGTTCGATTCCCGGCTATGCCTTTCTACCTCGTGTTTTTTAATCATTTTTTCCTTCATATTGATTGTCCTTTTCTTTTTTTGTTTAAGGGATACCCCCTCTTCCTCAACAAAGGAGTAAAATTAGTTGATCAGCATATTTTTTTAGTCATTAACATCAGAAAGTCTTAACATCTTGAACCGAACAAGTTAATATCAGTGAAGCACAGTGGTCATGTGGATAAGATATCGCTTCACAATGCAGATGTACTCGGTTCGATTCCCGGCTATGCCTTTTTACCTCGCGTTTTTTTCCATCTCTTTTTTTGTTTAAGGGATACCCCCACCTCCTCAACAAAGAAGTACAAGTAGTTCATCGGCATATTTTTTTAGTTATTAACATCAGAAAGTCTCAACATCTTGAACCGAACAAGTTAATATCAGTGAAGGACAGTGGTCATG